CGCATGTGAATGTGGAGGTCATGAAGGAGGAGACGGCATTAGCTCACCGTCTGGTGAAGGATTGATTGATTATTGATCGATTAATTGATGGACTGATCGGTTTATCGTCTCTCTGTTTCTATTTTTCCAATCAGATGAAAATCATCGATTATTTAGCTCCGCCCCCCACGCCACCCTGACTCCCTCAGATCATGGCGCCGCCCCGCTGTTTCTCACTTTAAGGACAAACGTGGAGGAGAGAGAGGAGACGACACACACACACACACACACAACAACACACACACACACACACACACACACACACACACACACACACACACACACACACACACACACAACAACAACACAACACACACACAACCGAACACAACACACACACAAACACACACACACACACACACACACACACACACACACACACACACACACACACAGAGTACGGAGAAGTGTGTGTGTGTGTGTGTTTGTGTGTTTGTGTGTGTTTGTGTGTGTGTGTGTGTGTTTGTGTGTGTGTGTGTGTTTGTGTGTTTGTGACCCAGATCTCCACGTCTTTGTTCTCAGTTCAAAGTTTCGTCCTCAAACGCCGAACACTGGAGGAGAAGAAGAAGAAGAAGAAGAAGAAGAAGAAGAAGAAGAACCCCGGAACATGAATAAATTATAGCGGGAAAAACACAGACTGAGCCGTCACCTTCAGATCCCAGAACCAGAACCAGAACCAGAACTTTCAGGAGTTCTATCGCTGACCCGTTTTTTGTCCGACTCTATCATCACTCAGTCCGTTTCCATGACACTCGAGAAAACCGAATTATCGCCTTATTCCGATAAAGACCGGATAGCTGAAGGTCATGTAAACACTTTAGTCCGACTATAATCAGAGTTTAAGAACTCCGATTAAAACACCCAGATAATGAGATTGGAATTAGATTTTCTCTACCATGTAACCAGCGTAGTCGGAGTATGAGGCCACGCCCCCATAACCCCGTAACAAACCCCCAGAGTAGAGGAGTAGCGTTGGTCTCCTCTTTAGAAAAAGTAGCGCGTCCATCATGTCGGACAAAAACAACGCTGTACGATGCTCCATCTTCTTGTTTCTCCAAAATGCCCAGCAGCAGTTGTAGACACTTCTGACGTCTGACACCGACCTGCTGTTGTTGTTGACGGTTGTCTGAAAAGACCCATATCGCCCCCTAGTGTTGGGGAGGAGGACACGTTCACGTTTTCTCGGCTGCATGTTTACACGGTGAGTCTGGAGACAAAACCTGGACCGGACTCTGAAACCACCGACGCTGGAGTGGACTCAGGATCAGGGTCAGGTCCAGGTCATTAGAGGTCAGTCTCTGTGCTCGGCTCGTCAGCCTGGATCTGCACCTGTCAGTCCCGTGTGACGGTCTGAATCCGGCGTGTTAGAGCGCCGTTCTCACACACGTCAGACTCTCTGCGGCGCCACCAGACCCTCCAGAGGAGCTGTCAGGAGGAGGAGGGCCGGATCCACTTAGCAGATCCGTCCTCAAATCTCAGATCTCAAACACGAGCGGCGAGTCCAAATGAAGGCGATCATCAGAGCCCGCGGCGGGCCGGCGACACCCCGAGTCAGGGCTGCGTCTATCAGCGGAGAACGCCGCTAATGATGATGTTTTCCTTCAAGTGAGCAAACATCAAGTCCAGTGAGGGTTTTCTGCGCCTCTGCTTGACAGGAAACGTCTTCCTGCATTACACTTGTGCGGCGGCGAGATGTAATAATTTCCCTTGAAAAGTGGGGCTCGGCGGCGCCGGCTTCCTAATGATGGAGGCGTTTGATGTTTAAATGAGGATATCACACGGCGGAGCGATCCTCGCAGGGCCGCACCTTCTTATGACAAGATTAGCAGCAAAGCAGAGCCATTACTGCGGTTTATTTCTGCCCCCGCCAACTCAGGCATCCATCCAGGAGGGGGGGCGGCGGCGGCGGCGGCGGCGGGGGGGGAGTCAAAAAAAAGAGGAAGAGACAGTGAAGATAGAAGAACCTGATGGGGCGCCGAGTCTTTCTAGATCCCATCCAAACCACTTATTTATAGAGCGTCAGACTGCGAGCTGTCCTCTCTGTCAGCCCGTCACCGTGTCAGCGTGTCACATCTCGCCGTCTCTGCTGTCAACACGCCGCACGCACTCAAGAATTAATAACGCCGTAATGCTGACAACGGCCCAGGCGGACTCGCAACAACATTTACCGACTCTGTCCCCCGAGATCGCGGCGAGCCCGAGCGTGTTTACGGGACGAGGAGCTGAGTGACAACCAGATGAAGATGTGAACGCCACCGCCGCCGCCGCCGTCATGTTTGAGTCCTGACGGAGGAGCTCAGGTGTTTGAACCTGGATTTAAAAAGTTCAGAGACACCTGCTGAACCGGGTCTGACACCGACAGGAACTCTGAGAGACGAAGGAACCGGTTCTGATCGGAGAGATTCATCAGAACCAGTAAAACCGAACAGTGTGACCTCCTCGCTGAAAACCGAGTCAGAACCTCCTCCACGCCGCAGAGTGTCTGAGTCAGAACGCCGTTTAAAAAAGTGAAATATGAAGAAAGAAAAACGCCGATCAGCTGAGCGAGAAAATCGGAGAGAAACCGAAAAATGAAGAAGAAAAAAACATGAAAAAAAACATCCAGGGAAAAAAAACACAAGAACACGAAGAAAACAAAACCTGGACTGGACTTTAAACAAGAACCTGGACTGGACTTTAAACAAGAACCTGAACTGGACTTTAAACAAGAACCTGGACTGGACTTCAAAATAAAACCTGAACTGGACTTTAAACAAGAACCTGAACTGGACTTTAAACAAGAACCTGGACTGGACTTTAAAATAAAACCTGAACTGGACTTTAAACAAGAACCTGAACTGGACTTTTAACAAGAACCTGAACTGGACTTCAAAATAAAACCTGAACTGGACTTTAAAATAAAACCTGGACTGGACTTTAAACAAGAACCTGAACTGGACTTTGAAATAAAACCTGAACTGGACTTTAAAATAAAACCTGAACTGGACTTCAAAATAAAACCTGAACTGGACTTTAAACAAGAACCTGGACTGGACTTTTAAATAAAACCTGAACTGGACTTTAAACAAGAACCTGAACTGGACTTTAAACAAGAACCTGAACTGGACTTTAAACAAGAACCTGGACTGGACTTCAAAATAAAACCTGAACTGGACTTTAAACAAGAACCTGGACTGGACTTCAAAATAAAACCTGAACTGGACTTTAAACAAGAACCTGGACTGGACTTTAAACAAGAACCTGGACTGGACTTTAAAATAAAACCTGGACTGGACTTCAAAATAAAACCTGAACTGGACTTCAAAATAAAACCTGAACTGGACTTCAAAATAAAACCTGAACTGGACTTCAAAATAAAACCTGAACTGGACTTTAAGATAAAGCCTGAACTGGACTTTAAAATAAAACCTGGACTGGACTTCAAAATAAAACCTGGACTGGACTTTGAAATAAAACCTGGACTGGACTTTTAAATAAAACCTGGACTGGACTTTTAAATTAAACCTGGACTGGACTTTAAACAAGAACCTGAACTGGACTTTAAACAAGAACCTGGACTGGACTTTTAAATAAAACCTGGACTGGACTTGGTAAACGTTCCTCTAAACAGAAATATTTCAGACGTTCGTTCCTCAGGAGAGACAAACACCTGATTCACTGACACACAGACAGGTGTAACACACACTCTAACACACACACACTCTAACACACACACACTCTAACACACACACTCTCTCTCGGGTGTGTGTCTGTGGCGCTCGGCGAGCGAGCGAGCGAGCGAGCGCGTCCTCCTCTCTGTTCAGGACATTATTATTGGAGCTTTCAGGCTCAGAGAGGCGGCAGGAAGCTCACGCTCTGAGAGCTCTCCACCGCCGCTCTCCTTCCTCTCTGCTCGCTCGCTCGGGCGGCGTTAGGACCGTAAAGAGAGGGGCCGGTGATGGCGGTCCCCTCTGAGGCCCTTTTCATGCTCTCAGGTTGAGTCACAAGGGCCCACTTCATCACCGTTACCCGGGATGGGAAATACATCGCTTCTCTTTAAAACTCTGACCCGGCCTTTTAGTCCGGAGCGCCGGGGCCGATTATCCTCGCTCACCCTTTTAAAAGAGTCTCACACACACGCACACACACACACACACGCACACACACACACACGGGTGTAAACGCTCTCAGTCGTACAGCGGTAGAGAGCGGCGCTCTAACAGCAGCGTTCGGAGTGGCGTGTTTTTCTGCAGAGGTTAGCGGTGGATCTATTTTGGAGAGGAGGCAGAGCGAGCGTTTAACCTTGGCGCTCAGGTGACTCACTGACTCGCTCTCAGGTGTAGGAGTCGCTCTGTTCTCTCACTCAGTGAGTCAGCGGCGGTCCGTGAGCGGCGAGCTGAGCGCTCATCTTCTGAAGCCGACCTTGGGCCGAAAAAACGCCGACTGTTTGAACGGCAGCTCAAAGTCCGACGCTGCACGCCGCGGGAAAAAAAATAAAAAAAACTTTTCAACTTTTTTTAGATTTGACCGTAAAAAAAAAAATGTTGATAACCTGAAATAATCCAGATTAACGGAAATGATCAGATTACAGAGACGTCAAGACTGTCCCCGCCTCTCTGAGCAGCCTCAGGATTATAATGTCAGGATTATCTAATGTAGTTTATTTAATCTAGTTTATCTAATCTAGTTTATTTAATCTGGATTATTTAATCTAGTTTTTTTAATCTAGTTTATCTAATCTAGTTTATCTAATCTGGATTATTTAATCTAGTTTATCTAATCTGGATTATTTAATCTAGTTTATTTAATCTAGTTTATCTAATCTGGATTATTTAATCTAGTTTATCTAGTCTGGATTGTTTAATCTAGTTTATTTAATCTAGTTTATCTAATCTGGATTATTTAATCTAGTTTATCTAATCTAGTTTATCTAACCTGGATTATTTAATCTAGTTTATCTAATCTGGATTATTTAATCTGGT